GTGCGGGGCCGTGCGGGACCCGGGGCTGCCTCACCACGCGCTGCACGGGGGCGATGGGGCCTCCAGAGTGACGCAGGATGGGGAGGGCAGGGGGACAGGAGAAAACTTCTCCCTAGGTTCACAGCAGCCTAACAGCAGCAGCTTCGCCACAGGGCCCTGCTGCTCCCTGTGTCACATCCCTGCCCTTCGGGTTTCACTTTTGCTCTACTGACAAGTTCAGAACGCCCAAACCTCTTGTGCAACCAACCATCCTCAGGAGCTTGGGTCTCTTTCTCCAGTCTACCCCATGGAAATTTTAAATTAAAAAAATAACACAAGAAAAAGAGAAAGTACTCTGTACCATTCTTAAACGACATTAACTAAGTCAAAACTAAGCAATACAACCCCCACTCAGACTATGTACATAAAAAGACAAGATCTCTTGAAACATAAATATACAGTGTATAACTCCAGGTGTCACCTAAAAGGCTGAAGATGCAGAACAACTTCACAGACAAGAAGCAAATCAAACTCACTGTGCCAAGTGGGGCCAGGTGGTTTGGAGGTGGGTGTTGGCCAGGAAGAGACCGACCCATGGTGCTGGTGGCGGTTCCTCCTACCCACACACACACCAAGGAAGGGTGCTAGTGGTTTCCAGGGGTGTAACACAACCACACGTACATGCCACAGTCCTATGCTCTCTTTAGGGTGTGGGAGAGAGGTCGGGAAATGGGATTAGACCCTGAGTCCCCAATTATTTCCAGGCACGTGCTCTGCTGGAGCAGTTAAAGGCGCACCCCTAACTCGGATCCAGCAGGTTCTTTAATATTGCTCTCCAGACAGAGATACTTGGTATCTCTCAGTGCAGACTCGGAACAGGCCGGTTGGAATTCTGCACCCTGTGCTTTAAGAGTTACCATGACTTTCATGGAAATAATACAGCCTTGATCAGGGTAAAAGACTAATGGAGGTCTTTAGCCCAATCTCAAAGAGGTTTGATTTCTACAGCACAGACACGCCACGACTCCAACACACACAGCCAGTTACCGGCTCCATAAAGTGACGATGCAGTGTCTGAGTTATTCTAGCGTTATCCTTGCTGTCCTTGGGGAAGATGTGAGTGGTGGGGAGGTGCAGGGAGGAGAGCTGGTGTTCGAGGGAGGCTGCAAGTGGAACAGGTCCAGGTCTAACTGGAAATGTCTGCAGACAGCCAAAAGACACTTTTAGCTTTACTTGATACACGGTTTTATGGCATGCACTAAAACTCCTACGACAACTCCTTACAGAAAGCACACGGCATCTCCAGTCCCACTGGTGCTGGTATCTCAAGAGAACAAGTAAAGCTAAGAGTCTGCTCGTGAGGGGAGGCCATGTGTGTGTGTGTGTGTGTGTACACGGAAGGGGGGAGTGGGGGTGTGACCAAGTGGGGAAATATCCTGTTTTGCTGAAACCAAGCTCTTGGCAAACCTCCTTCCCTCTACCGCTGGCCGGCCTCCCGGATCCGGCAGGCCACCGCCGTGATCAGCGCCGCACCCTTGCCGCTGCCATCCTCTGACTGCAGGAAGGTCACTTCACACTTGGGAGACAACTGCTTCACTGTGTCCTGCATGACGGTGGAGAAGCTGTAGGGCACAGGGCAGGAAGGAAGAGAGGCTGATTTAACGTTGCCTCGGCTGAAGGTGCCAGCCCCACCTCACACCCATCATCACAGACCATAGTTGCCTTTAGCAGAGCCTCAAACAGTGCTACAGATACAAAGGGGGGAGATGGATGGGGACAGAGCAGCCAGATAGGAGGCAGTGGAAAACATAAGTATCCATGTCCGTGCTTCAGCCCAAGTCCACAGTTAGCTCAACCTGCTCAGGACCGAAGCCAACCGTTTCTTCAGTCCCACCAAGCCCTGACTGCATTAATAAACCTTAACAGCCCTGACCAGTGTCACCTTGGAGGGACCTTCAGTGCATCCTGTCTCCCCACAGACCCTGAGCTCTATTTCAGCTCAGCCCTGTGCCTTCAGTCCCTGCCCGAGCTACACCCTCCTTGGAGTACCAGCCCCCAAGCTCAGTCATAGTCATGTTGCTACTTGTCTGTGGGCCTCTGATAGAGATCACAGACTGACCTCTTGGTTAGATCAGTGAGATAGACAGCCCTTGAGACCCTAGAATGCTTCCTCTCCTCTCCAGCCACCCTGTGAAGCTTTCCACGCTGGCTCTTAGCATCCCATCTGCTCGAGATGAGCAGCATGAGCCTCCCTGAAGGACAACCACAAGCACCCAGCAACTCACTGAGGGTGCAGCTTGTAGAGCGTCCCGTCCACGCCGACGGTGATCTTGAGGAAGTCCAGCCCACGGTTCTCCCGGATCTTGTCCACCACGGCCGCCATGCCAGCCCCGCAGAGCTGAGCTGCTCGCCGGGCCACCACCGTGCACACCTCCTTCACAATGATGCTGTCGTCACACGTGCTCTCCAGGCCAAGGTGCTGGAGGATGGAGCGGACCTGGAGCAGGGCCAGGCAGTCGCTGGGGAGGACAGAGGGCCAGGCATTGTTAGGAGATGGAGCAACCTGGATCTGTGGCTTCCCATTTCTTATCTACATCCTGCAGAGCCCGGGGGCTCATGGCTCGGGTAATGGTCTGGAGGGACTCCACAGCTCCCCTCTAACCTCAGCATTCAGCCCTGCATGTGGCTCTGATGTCACATTCTAGTTAGTGAAGCTATTTCAGGACAAAGCCACCAACTCAGAGCATGACAGCTGTTGAACCTGTGGCCCTTCTCTGTCCCAGGCAGAAGAGAAAGAGGCACCTGTGCTGCCCAGCCCAGGCAGTTTCCTCATCTCCTAGCACCGGTGCCACCAGAGCCACAAGGATTCCACTGATGTTCCTGCCTGGCACCACCCTGTGTCATTCTGGCTCAGGGCTGAGTGCCTGGGACTTCCACAAGCCCCGAGACTGCTTTCCCCAGACTACATCTCTGCTCTAATCAGGTTCCTACCTTGCCTGTTGGACCTCACCTTTCTATCTGGGAAAGGAACTTGGTCTCAAAGATGCCTCTGGTCTTCAGCCTCTCCGAGATCCGCCCGCGGAAGAGCAGCCCTCGCTTGGTGAAGTCCATCAGGATGTTCCGGACAATCTCCCCCAGGTACATCCCACTGATCATCTTCTCAAATCTGGGGAGGAGAGGTCAAGGCTGGACATCAGGACATGAAGGGCCACGATCTGGACCCCAGCTCTGTCAGATGTCTTTGACAGCCACCCGGGCTGACGCCCCACAGCACACCCAGCAGCAGGGTCCCCACGCTGCAGGCAGGTGACAAGGGACCCCACGTGTCGCCGAGGCCAGACTCGGCCCTGCTCATCACCCCCTGGTGCTCCACCAAGAGGCTGGTGGGGCAGCACCGAACTGTTCCTGGACACCCAGCCTCATCAGGGGGTCCCTCCTCAGCCCCCCAAGGCCACCACACACCTCTGCTTCCCAGGGTTCAGAGACAGCTCGTCCACCGCCAAGTCGAACTCGGTGCGGATGTCATCCAGGCACCCGCTGTCACCAAACGCCCCCCACTCCATGTTGACACACATCCTGCCTTCCTCCCCTTCCACCAGCTCCACGTTCCTCATCTCCTCCATGTAGCAGGCGTTGCTGCCTGTGCCTGCAGAGAGAGAAGCACTTTCAACACAGCTCCCACGGAGGTGGAGAGGGGATGCAGGACAAAGCCCCCAGACTCTCCTGCAGGCAGAAGCCCCCGTGGGGGCAGGCTGGGCACTGCAGGGAGGGCAGCTGGGCAGGAAGGGTTCAGCCCTCACCGACTATCAGCCCGACTTCACAGTACGGATCTTCGTAGCCACAGGTCATCATGGTGCCAACCGTGTCATTGACCACCGCGACCACATCCAGGTCAAACTCCTGCGGGAGCACAGGGGTTATGTGGGGAGGGGAAAGCCACCACCAGGAAAGGGCCCGTCTGCTGAGTGCTGGGAGTACTCCGGGCCCCCACGGCCTTCCCCATGTGTCTGCAGGTGAGCTCACACCTCAAGACACAACTGCAGAGGAGCTGGGACGGCCCTGCCCAAAACAGCACCCGGGCAAGAGCTGTGGGTGGTCTGCACCAGGCAACGGGCACAGCGTCTCCTCAACTCACCACAGACAAGTCTGCTCCAGCCCTGGCCAGGAGCCAGCTCCTAGCTCCAGGGTCTGAAAATCCAACCTCTAGTGGTGACTAAGGGTGGTTGTTAAAATTCAGACACTCATTAGCCCTGTGCTCAGCCTATTAATTTGCTTTACAGGCCAATTAAAGCTGCCCAAGAGAGCTGGGGGGTGGGAGGAGGCAGCCAGCTCCTCACGGCTGTGGACACTCACCTCTCGCCTGTGAATTGCCTCCTTCAGCAGGTTCACCACATCTTCCCCTTCACAGCCTGTTGCCTTGAAACCTTTTGTCCACTTCAGGAGAATCCCCTGTGGTGGAAGCAGCGCACAGTGAATCACCCAGGCTGCTGGCAAGAGGGACAGCAACCCCGTGGCCACTACTCTCAGCAGGCACCGCCTGGCACATGAAGGTCAGAGCCTCACACGTGGGGAACGCTCAGCTGGGCTGTCTCTGGAACCCAGGGAACCTGCGTTTGTTTTTATGCAGCAGAGAGGCTGTTCAGAAGCAGCTCTGCTGAGCTCCTGCCTTCCCCCTCCCCTGGGTCTCTCTCTGACCCGCCATGTGGCCACTGTTGCTGGTGCCTGGTTTCCAGCATGCTGTGGCTTTCCAGCCAGCCCTGAGGGCCAGCCCTGTGTGCCACCAGGTAGGCTGAGGTTACCTCATCCAGGTTGGTCTGCTGGCAAGGGAAGGAGAAGGTGAATCCGAGCGGGAGCGACACCCCTTTCATCCCCATGTACTCCAGGAAGTCAGAGATGCAGTGGACGATGTGGTCAAACAGCTGGGTGCACAAAGCCAGAAGGAGAAGTTACCACCATGGCAAGAAGCCCAGCTGGATGCCAACCTGCCTGACTTACTGGAGATGTTGATAAATGCCAAGCCATGATGGCTTTGAGCAGAGCAGGGTGCTGCTCAGCTGCACTGTGTGAGGGAAGCAAGCCCAAACCAGCTCCTTCTCCATCTTCCTCCACACCAACAATGCTGTGACACCTCCACCCTGCAGGTCCCACGCTGCACCAGAAGGGATGAGGGCCTAGCGGGGAGGTGACCAGCTCCCCGGGGTGCCATGGGAATCCAGTCCCTCCCCAAGGCATCCCCAGAGCCCATGGGCTGGAAATGCTCCCAGTCCCTGAGCGCTGCCTGGAGTGGTTTGCAAAACTCTTCCTATCTGCAAGTAAGTCTCTGGAGATGTCTCCTACTGCTTGTGTTGTGGTTTCTTCCTCCAGGAAGTGGGGATGATGCTTATCTGCCCTTGTGGAGGGTGTGGGATTCAAGGAGGTTCATGTATGTCTGGGAATAACACAATCTTTAGCCTGAAAACCAGTCTCAAGTTTCCTAAAGTGTATTTCAGACTCCAGAGCCGTGGGCAGAACTGGCTGCTCTAAAGGCAGGAGAGCACCCTTCCTGTGGAGGAAGGCTGAGAGAGTTGGGCCTGGTCAGCCTGGAGAAGAGAAGCTCCAGGGAGACCTTCTGGTGGCCTTTCAGTCCTTTAAGGAGGCCTTGAAAAAAAGGTGGGGATGGACTTTTGAGCAGGGCCTGGACAAGGGGTGATGGTTTGAAACTAAAAGAGAGAGACAGATGAGAAATTAGGATGATGTTCTTCACTCTGAGGTGGTTGAGACACAGGAACAAGCTGCCCAGAGAGGTGGTAGAGGCCCCATCCATGGAGACATTCAAGGTGAGGCTTGATGC